GACCTCGAGCAACAACTCTACGTTGCAAAGTCTATGCCCCTTTGACAGCAGTGCTTCATCATTGTGCCAGTAGATGGTTCTAGGACGTGGAGGTCGGACACGTACGGCTCTCCCTCGATGACCCTTCTCCTCAACTCATGTAACCTTATCCTCAGATGTTCCACTGCATCAGGGGCTGGTTCTGCTTGATCGTGTCCAGCGCGAAGCTGAACTTGCGCAGAAGACTCTGCAACCCTCTTCTGTGCGTGAGGTCGAGATTTAGCATGGCATCCATCCGGGAAGGTTGTCCGCCTTCCCGGTCAATGGGAGTGATATGACGAGTCGTCCTTCCTGGCTACCATGCCTACCCAACTTGGCGGGACACATACTCCATTCGAGATCTGTCTGTGCTAGAACATCTTTACTGGTACGCCCCCCGGTGAGCCAGTCGTCTACCCGGTTGGCGGGAGTGATGAGACAAATCGTTCCCTCCTTCCCGGAACGAGCTTTACCGGGAGGGCCTCCTTCTTGGCTGCTCAACTTGCCGAGACACGTACTCCCTTCAAAATCCGTCTACGCTGGTACGCCATTGCTGGTACGTCTCCCTGGGAGCCAGCCGTCTACCCAGTCGACGGGAATGATGAAACGAATTGTTCCCTCCTTCCCGGAACGAGCGTTACCGGGAGGGCCTCCTTCTTGGCTGCTTAACTTGCCGAGACACGTACTCCTTTCGGGGTCCATCATGCTCTAAGCGTACGAGCGTGGTTCATGGGCACCGAGCATACAAGAATCTGGGGTGATAGCTCTGAGCGTGCACGATCTCGCGATGGTGCTCCGCAACCCTGACCAGTTGACACAGATAATCAACCTGCAATTTTAGAAACTTTAATAGAAATTTCAAATGTATATTTTTATTGTTTGATGGTTGTCCTTTGTTAAATGGGTGAGGTCCATTATAGCTGAATTCACTAAATCCTATCAGGATGCTTCGTAAAATCATATTGGGATTCCTTAGGCCAATTTTGACTAGGTCAAAATTAAGCCTTTCCAGGAGAAGAAGTCAATCACATGCTGGGCTACTGGTTAGAAGTCGCTCGCTGGCTGGGATGTTTCAGCCGTACTCATCCCTTGGCACCTGCTATGGAACAGAAGCACAAGTAAAAAGCTCTTGGCCAGATGGATAGTATGACCGGAGAAGGACCCTGGGCATTAAGAACTGCTATTTCCTCCGGGCGTTGTTGCTGCCAAGGGGCAGAGAGGAGCTCCGATCTCCGAAAAGGGTTTGCGATATCAGGCGGTGGCGGCCGTGCGGTAATGGAGAGAGAAATAGCCACCGTCCGGCTGCGCTTGGACTGAGGCGGAGGGGCGAACTACGAGCGCCAACCAGAAGCTTTCGATCTCTCCATTAATGGCGAAAAGCTCGTCGGGGTTCGCAAGACTCGAAGGGCGAGCTGTGACGGGGGTTCCGTGAAGGAGTCGGCGGAGGGAGCTGCCGGCTATGGTTCCGCGGAGGAGGTGGAGGACCTGACCGCCAGTGCTCTGGTTACACCTAGATCTGCAGCATCGATGGAGTTTCATCTAGGCTATGCTTGCTCCTGTGGATAGATTCCACGTTTTTTTTGCAATCCCAATTGCTGGAATGATTTTCTGGTTGAACTCTGGCTCTTTTTAGAATTGTGACGATTATTGATTTTTTTTTTTAGAATCTCACTTGAATTTTGCCAAATTCTCCCCAATTTCCTACCGAAAAATGAGAGTGGACTCTCAATGAAAGCACCAATGTTGGTAGAAAATAAACCGGGTAGAGAATTCGACAGCATTTCAATATAGTGAGAATAGCGTACCGAATACATGGGGTGATGGCCTATTTATAGGCATCCATCACAAGTCCAAAGTCTAATCTACGTGGGCTTGGCCCAAATACATAATACATGTCCAAGCTAATGGGCGAACCGGCCCGATAAATAAGTAAATGATCAAGGGGCGATTCCCGCTCGTGAGACTGCGTCTTGGGCCTAGTGGGGCCAAAGCTCGGGGATAACGGGCCGATGGCACTGGGCCCGGCATATTATCCCAACAAAAATAATAATAATAATAATAATTAAAAGTAATAAACCATGTCTAAGCTTTTTTTCTCTGATTTGACTTGATCTCTATCTTTATGCTCTAAATTAAATCTAACTGATGTGATCTAATCTGATTTTTTTTAATCTAATCTATCATATCTGTTTTTTTATTTGATTAAATAAAATTAGAATACGTAATAAGTAATAAGAAAAAGATGAGATAACTCCTAACAAAGAGATGTAGCCAAATTGTTGCGTCCACAAGAGTTTAATAATAAAGGTCAGTTTTGAAGTAATCATTTCCACATTCTGAAAATTTTGCTGGATATCGGTCATTTCATTCCGAAAGGTGAAGATAAAGGGGGTGTTTCGAAAATTACGTTGAGGTATTTTAGCAGAGTATTGAGTATCTTACAACGCCAAATGCGCGAGGGACGAACCTTAACTGCATACCCAGTTAAGAAAGATGTAGTACATATCCAGCTAGCCTTGGGGTAAGAACTTTAACTTTTCCAACAATAATCTACAAAAATAAGCAACCATTAACAAACCACATAAAAATCCCATAATCTACTTGTGAGAAAATCAGCAGATCTCGGTGTTACTCATTCAAAAGTGCACATGTTCGTAGAGATGAGCAATTAACCAACGAAATCGACAAAAAGCGGAGGATGAACCAACCAAAAAAGTTGATTTTCAGTTGGTCATCCTGTATCATATTCAATCAAATACACAAACAGATGTGGTTGTTCAGTTTGTATGTTAAAATTCAGTTCTAAAGTTTCCAAAGAGGCAAAATGAAAACATGCTGATTCATACGGACTTACGGAGTATTTTTTATATCAAAGCACAAATGCTCCAGGCTGGCCTCCACCTCTACATCCTTTACATGTAGTCATGTACTCTATAGTTTTGAGAGTGCCATGGATGAGTAGCTGCATAGTGGAGAGACCCTACACATTGGAGAAGCATTTTAATAAGAGCATCAACGCTCTAATTCATCTCAGGGTGGAAATAGAATGCAGTGCGGCCTCCATGTTTTGATAGTTTGGCCCGAAATATATATATATATAGAAAATCTTTCCGGTAAGGTATACCTTACCGGAGCCGCCGTGCGGCCTCCATGTTTTGAGGGTCTTCCCGGTGGAATTTTTTGATGAAATTGTTTGAGCAAGTTCACCATCAAGTCTAGTACATCCATACCAAATTTCAGCAAAAAATTCAATCGGGAAGGCAGCCAAACGATTTTTGGAAGATAACTGCGTTTTATATGTATAACTGCGATTTTTGGAAGATAACTGCGATTTTTGGAATATAACTGCGTTTTAAAGGGTGCAGTTATCTTCCAAAACTCATTTGATTGCCTTCCCGATTGAAGTTTTTGCTGAAATTTGGTATGGATGTACTAGTCTTGATGAAGAACATGCTCAAAAAATTTCATCAAAAAATTCCACCGGGAAGGCCCTCAAAACGTGGAGGCCGCACGGCGGCTCCGGTAAGGTATACCTTACCGGAAGAGTAAGGTATATTATATATATATATATATATATATATATATATATATATATATATATATATATATATATATATATATATATATATATATATATATATATATATCAGTATTGTTATATATTTATACTATACTCCGTATAATATACTACATGCATAGTATTTATTTATTATATTTAATATATTTATATATTTATTTATTATAACAATTAAGTAAATAGGCCCGAAATATATAAATATTTATATATTTATATATATTTCAATATGCATTATATATGTATACTACATAATATGTTACGTAGTATTTATATAATATTTAAATATTTATTTTATAAAAATTAAATAAATATTATTGAATGCCTATTTGGTATTTCGATTTACCGATTACCAAACCGATTTTTTTTCGGTTTTTACCGAACCAAATCGATTTAGTTTGGTTCGGTATTCGGTATGTGAATATGCAAAACCGAAATTTCAGTTCGGTTTGGTATTACCGAACGAACACCCCTGCTCTAATCTGTCTCCTCACCTCTCCTACAAAATATGACTTTCCTGTTCAGCTGTTCTCATCCCTCCCAGTTTCTTGATATCCATTTTTCTTTTCTTTTTTCTTGCTTTTTAATTTGATTTTGTATTATTCTTTGATGAAGGGGACATGTTCATTCTAAATCGAAGCCTGATGGATCTTGACCGAGCTCACACTTTCTTGACTCACTCACCAACAGAAGAATTTGGTTGTAAGGATGGTTTTACCTGAAGTATAATTTGTTGTCTGGTTTGATTTGTTTAAGTATGATCTGGTCTGGTAAATGTCTGATCTCTGTATATTTTATAACTACAGAAGTCAAGTTTGGTCTATTTAAGTCTAGTCTAGTCTGATCTTGTCTGTCCTATTTAAATCTGATCTGAGACTAACAACATTCCAAGTAAAACATCCTAAATCAGTTGCAGACTTGCAGTATGATCTGGTGTCTGTACAAAGAACAATCTTGATGATCAGTTACGTTATTATTCAGAAAAAGGAATTAATGATGGGGGTTTTAAGTTACATTTTTTGTTAATTAATAGGGTAAATAACACAAAGATTGATGAAGACCTTTCAGAATGTTGGTCTTCCGAGGGAGTCCTAAAGGCAATAGAAAATCAATCTAGAAAGTTCCCCAAGATAAATAAGTAGCAGTAAAAGTAACATAGTAAAAAAGGTCTTTCTTTTAAACAAAACTTTGATTCCAAAAAATTGATTTCAAGGTAAAAAAAAAAACTAAATTTCGTTGAGTTTAATGTACTTAATAAACAAAAGTGCTCCAAACAAATTAGTCATGTCAAATTTAGTTTATAGAGAAGAAAAACTAAATATATAACTGGAATTGATTGTTTGCTAGTTGTACCTTGCATAAATGAAACAAAATGTACATCAATAAAACATGACTCTGTTTTCTGGAAGGGATGAGTATATATTTTATTCAAACATCTGAATTCAGAAATTAAGATTAAAAATCAATTTTTTTTATGTAAAAACAATCCATTTGTTTGCTTTTGGGAGAAATGGGCACATGATAGCCACATAAATACAACAATGGTGATTTTCTTCATGTGGGTAGGACATGAATTGAATAAATGTTTTTATGCACGCAGTGGGCATGTAGGAGTGTAGGACTCCTAAGGGATGACTTCTATTTGAACCTCATTGATTGGGGAAGAACCAACATTGTAGCCATTGCATTGCACTCATTAGTCTTCATGTTGAACGCTGTTAATCGTAAAGTTCAGCATTTGGGGGATTTGAATGATAATCATAGCGATCATTATGCAAGCAGTGTTGCATGGTCTAACGACGGAAAATCATTAGGCGTAGGACATTCAAGCTCTGAGATTCAGCTTCAGGATGTTGAGTCATCCAAGCTTGTAAACCCCCCATCTCTCAGTGTCATACTCCTTCACACAAGTGTTCCATGTTTCAATCTGTTCCAAACAAAGACTATTTCAACAATAGAAACTAATTTTCATTGAATGTAATGTATCTTTTTCCAGAAAAGATGTTGCAAAGAAGTCAAAATGCTCAAGTTCTGATGAACTTATCTTCTGAATACTCAAATAAATTGTGTTTTGCACTACTTTTGCTCCTGAAAACAAGTTAAAGTTGCCCAAATTGTGTCTGGTACAGATGAACTCATCTTCTGAAATTGCTCAAATAGATTGTGCTTTGCTCCTATCTTTTCCCAATGGAAAAAATTTAGCTAAGAGATGCTCCGCATATATTTAAGCAATCAAAGTTTCCCTCTGTAGAAAGCTTTTTATTTAAACTGATTTAGTTGAGAAGTAACCAGAATGAATAGGCTGAATCTAAATTCACAGCATCAAGAGAACTTTTTTTCTTTTGGTTTTAAATAAAGTTTGATTGAAGAAGAAAATTACAATGATCATATCTGGTAACTTCTATCAAAAAGTACAACCAAGCACTTGCCTACTTAATTTTTTTTATATTTTAATTTCGAATTTTTAATTTTTTGGTGTTTTTTAGAATTTATTTTATTAATTTTAAGTCAATAAGGATTAATTTGCTCCTTTATAAGAACATGAGGGATAGTTTTTGCACTTTTTTCAAAGTTCAGGGGTATATTTGTTCCGAAAAATAGAACAAGGGTATATTTGTTCCTGCACCTATACTATAGGGGTATATATGTACCTTTCCCCCTTTTTCATTATTATAAGTCACTTTAGGGCAATTATAGTTGACTATATTTGCCTTCCTTGCATTGTCAACAATCCAATTGATACGTCAGATAAGCCAAAGAAAAACAGTGGCTATCAAATGGGACTAAGGATGCTACGTTTAGTTCAACAAATCAAAAAAAGCAAAATATTATACAATGGACTCTTAAACAAACTTTACCTAACCAAAATTTTAAATTTCTACATGAAACATGACTATTTTTCAGAACGACAATGCAATGATTCTTCCAAAATTACATTTTACCCGTTGTTCCAGCATTAGGATTGGTGTCGCATTGCCACATGTTTTGGTAATTATCTTATCTAATACTACCACATAAACATTACAATGGCTACTCAACAGGTAAGATGCCTGCTTGGTCATGTGGGGAGGGTGGGAACAATAGATTGGAAGGCTGATATTCAAACATCAGGAAGCTCTGATACACCTATTGTTCATCATGACGGTCTTGTAGATTAAAAAAAAAAAGAATAAGCAAGTTCCATTCTCACCCCTCATTTTTAATATTAATTTTTTGGGGTGCAGTGAGAGAAAAAGGGTGTTGTATAGTGTATACGTGATGAGAGCACAAAGTAAGGAAGTGTTAGGGTTCTGCGATTGAGAACGGGTCCAGGGCCGACTTGGGGTAGCAGGGTACCCGGTTGAGGTCGTAACCTTCCTGCTAGGGTTATTCCTCTTCTTGCCTGTGGCTGGAAGAGCGCCGGGGAGGGGGAAAGTCCGTGACTTCTCTCTGGGAATAATTTGAATGATCTTTATTATTGCTGAAACGATTATAAATAGGCATCCTGCCTTTTACAAAATCAAGTCCTGATGTAATTAAAACTCTAACTGGAAATTCTAAATATCTTAGGAAACAATATTAAATAGGCATCATGTCTCTTACAGGATCAAGCCCTAATCTAATTAAAACAATAAATCTTAGATTCTTAGGAAACAATAAATCTTAGGAAACAATAAATAATAAAATATAACATCAAGCTAGACTACTCATTTAATTGTATGTCTCTCTGGCCCATATGTTTCCTTCTACGGTATGGAATCCCATAAAAAGCATCCGTAATAGGAAGTATGTGGACTGAAGTAGTGAGAGGAGGGGAACTATCGGTGGGAATGACAATATTGTTTACATATGGGATGCTTTAAAGATGAGCTCTGGAGGGACCTATATAGTGAAGGCACTGGCAGGGTGTCCTTATAACTATGACCAGTTGGCTTCTGGGGGAGGGATGAACGATGGGTGCATCAAGATTTGGAGTCTTGCAAGAGGAGTGTGCCTTAGCACCACCCAAACCAGTGCACAGGCAAGTTAGTTTTCACCTTATATTTTCAAGTGTCGATGTACAAATGAGAGAAAAGGTCCTTTAGGATTGTAACCTTTGTTATCTACTCGGTCAGTACTCGGCGAGTACTCGCAACTCGGGTATTGGCCTTGCCGAGTAGCTACCTGACTCGGTCCGTGTTTTACTCCTGAGTTACTCGCCGAGTACTCGGCGAGTTTCTCAACTCGGTGAAGTCTAACTCGGTCCCTTATAAAATTGAAAAACTACGTTACAAAACCTAGGCAAAACGGAGTTCCGGACATCAATTATCCTTATAGAGCTGTGACTACGATATATCAATAAGTTCTCATCTTCTTTCTCGTATCTCCCCTTCTCCCATCTCTCATTTCTTCTTCTTCCACCCACCCGTGACCCGTCCTTCTCCAGCTGTTCTTTACTGCATTCTTAAAATATCACCATCTTGATTGTTAAACATTGATGCACACAACACACATATATGTTGATATAAATAAATTCTTTTCACCAATATGACTATATATTATACTACGTAATTTTTAATTAATATCACTATATTGATTGTTTACTATGGCACATCATTGATCGACTGACACACATCATCTAATTGGCAGTCATGAACTCTGCTCAATTTACTTAGGCTTCTAATGGTGCTGAATATGCTAATACTACACTTAAAGAGTAAATCGGATGATATAGGATGGGCATGGGGAAGCTTATGTTTATGGAGGTATCCTTCCATGTCTGAAAAGAAAAGGGATAAATCATATATCACTAATATTTCAAAACATCAAGTATCTTTTGGGAATATGGCAGAACCTCAAAGGAGGTAACATGCAAACAAACAAAAAATGTGTGATGATTATTGTAAACATTCTTACCTGTTTTTTAATTCAATTCTTTCCGCTGAATAGCCTGGATGGATAAACAGTGGTATCAGCTGGAGCAGATCAAGCTCTCCATTTCTGGGAGATTTTCGGGCTGCCTCGATCTTACATGTCTTCAGATTTTGATAATATTCTCTCTCTGAAGGCATTGCCGATAAGATGATGCCACACACTAGATGTTTCTGGATTTAACAAGACAATGTATATCTGCAATTTTAACAGCTTTGAATTCAAGCAAAAGTGTTGCAGAATTTTGGGATTTTGTACATGCATCTATTTAACCATTATTAGTGAATGTTAAGAAAAGCAAAACGAATTCTCATCACATGATCCTTAGACCAATGTACTTCCTCCTCACACTTTTAAAGGCCATATGTTATTAGTTTTTTTTATGCTCAAAGACTTCTTACGTTGGCCAATAATATATTTTTGTTCAAAATGATTTACAATGTGAAAGTAATACAGGAAATGTTTCTTTGTTAAGAGTACTCTCATAAAGCACACAAACATAATTTTAAGAAAAAATGTTGATCAAAAGTATTGGTTGAAGAGCAAAATTTGACCATGAAAAGTACAATGCAACCTATTGTATTAAAGTGGGGTGGAGCCAGGCCATATAACAGAGATTTAATTAGTAGAAACACAATCGTCACGATGCTTCAGATCTTTGCTGATCTATATATGAGTATTAGGTGTACTATGCTCATTTAAAATCATAGTGAAACTGCAAAGAGTAAGAAGAAATGCAAAATTGCAAATCTCCAAAAGAAAACAAACAGATCCTGCATTTTGTTAGAAACACTGAATATTAGATTCAACAAATACCTCCAGTACCTATTAAAACATTCTATGATACTCCCCTCTTATTCATAAATACATTGCCCCTAACCAAAGACATTTTGTTCTCAAAACAACTGTCTACCTAACTGATAAGAAGAGAAAAATAAAATCAACGGGGTAACCCGTTGCCCAAAATAATCAACGGCTGGATCCGTTGCCCAGAGCTAAATAGCTAAAACCAATATTATTAATGCCTGATTTGAATAAGCCTAGGCAAGGGTTTATATAACCCTTACATCCAAAACTGAATAGGAAACTAAATCCTAGTAAGAAACATAATAGGAGTCCTAATTAAACCATTCAAGGAAACTAAATAGAAATAGGAAACCTCTAATTAATAGAAGTCCTAATTAAATCATACTAGGAAACAAAATAAATTAGGAAACAAAATAAAAGGAATAATTAAAATTAATTAAATTGCTCGCAGCCAGCCCACGAAGGTGGGCTCAAGCCCGTCCCGCCCCATGCTCTTCCCGCATCATATCAATCCATCCTCCTTCAAATTAACCTTGTCCTCAAGGTTGAAAACTCGCGGATCGGGAACTGAAATATCCAGACATAGTATAGACTGGAAAATATCCTTCTACTCTTTCCGGGACCTTTTCCTGGCCGGTTATTTCACAGAATTCATGCTGCTTGAGGTCCAACTCTTCATCCTCCTCAGCTATCATTACCCGCAGCTGCTTAAAGGGACAGTCATGTGTTGGTGTAAATGGTTTCTTGCACCTAAAACATAATCCTTTCGCCCGCAGTTCTGCAAACTCTTTCGGCGGAAGTCGAGTGAACTGAAAGCGTGTCGTAGGCTGCCCAGACAACCCTGACTTCGTCCCCGGAGGCTGTCCACTATCTTTCGCAAAGTTGCCCTCCGAACCCTGTAAGCTGCCACCAATGGCAGTCAACGGGGAACCTGTGTTTGCCCTTAAAAGGCTGATAGAACGTACCCCTGATGAATGATAATTCAGGCTTCCACTTTCTCCACTTTGGACGGACAGATTATACTCCACTTCGCGAGCTAATTCCATAGCCATCTCCAGGTTGTTTGGTCGGAGCAATCGCAGCGAGCTTCGGATTATCTCCTTAAGACCGCTCATGTAATATCCCAAATAGTGCTCATCGGGTAACCCTAGAACTTGGCTTGCTAGCTGAACAAACAAGATGTTGTAATCTTCTATAGACCCAATTTGCCTGACTCCAGACAGTCGTTCATACTTATTCCCTTGAAATCGAGAATCAAATCTGTCCACCAAGGCTTGCTTGAAATCTGCCCAAGTCATCCGGGGCCTGCGCGATCTCAGCCAGGTCACCCAGTAAAGCGCTCCTCCTTCCATAGCTACCATCGCGGCAGCCACCTTCTTTTCCGTTAAAGTGTTGTGTAAATCCTAGTAAGAAACATAATAGGAGTCCTAATTAAACCATTCAAGGAAACTAAATAGAAATAGGAAACCTCTAATTAATAGAAGTCCTAATTAAATCATACTAGGAAACAAAATAAATTAGGAAACAAAATAAAAGGAATAATTAAAATTAATTAAATTGCTCGCGGCCAGCCCACGAAGGTGGGCTCAAGCCCGTCCCGCCCCATGCTCTTCCCGCATCATATCACTAACAAACCTATAAACCAAACATAGTGAAATGACATGACTAAGAGGGCGTCAGTAAACATTTTTTGTCTTACAATTTTTTAAAAAATAAATAAAACATTTTTTACAAAATATAATGCATTTCAGTGCTCTGGCTGAATTAGGGGTCAATTGATAAAAAAAATCATGCATGAGTTACATCTTTTTACTTGAAATGACTGGAAATGGAAAGTGGAATTAAAGAACACGGCATTTCTACCTTCAGATTTAATTTAGGTATACAAAGTATATGTTAAAATTGTTAAATACTTTTTTACACAACTCTGCATACTCAACTACTTCTCCCACATCTCCAGTAAATTTTGCGCATTCTATCACTTCAGCAATTTCATGCCTTGCCAAATGAGCTCTAAGTTACTCTCCCAAATATATTTCACTTTTGTTGAGTAACACCTACAAATCAAGAATTCTATGTGTCAATTTATGAGAATATTTATTATCACCTTAAGTGTCAAAATTTCCTTCAAGAACAGTTATTGAGAATAAGGGAATAATCAACAAGAGGGATGACCTTCTACCTATAGTCTCCATTCAAAAGTCTCCAAGAAGTTAGTGTAGACAAATGGGGCTTGAGTTTCTTTCTGCAACAAATTAGGCCCTGCCTTTTGGCATCATCCTATTGGCAACAAATTCAGCTTCTTTAGACCTTCCCTCCACCTCTAGTCTATGTTTTAAATCTTCTAAGCACTCCAAAGGCACTTCAATTTTCCTTTCCACTAACTCATAGTAAAGCTCAAAGGCTTCTAGAGCTCTACCGTCTTCTTTACAAAGTGCAATCAACACATTGCTGCACACATCTATCCCAACACTAAGACCATTCTTTAGGCTAAAAAGTAACAATTCACGTGCTCCAGAAAACTCCTTCCTCTGGGAAAGAAACAAAATTAACTCTTCAATATTTACCAAATAGCCATTTTCATGTAGACCCTGAAGAATCTCAAATGCCCGTTCTCGCAAACCGGATTTGAAAAGTATCTTTATGGTTTCAGTCGAAAGAGTGATGTTTGGTCTGATTTTTTTAAGCAACATTAGCACCACTAAATCAGCAGACTCAAGAGCACAATCCTGTTTGGCAAGCCCCATGAGAATGTTATGGAACACTGAAGTTGTGGGAAGATGTGAGCTTTTCAACATCTTTTCAAGAGTATCATAGGCGAGTTTTGGTTTTCCCACGCGTAACAGGCCGTCAATCAGAGATTCATATGTTTCGTGGTCTGGAAGGAAATTTCTCCGTAACATCCAAACCAAAAGTTCGTGCCCATCCTTAAATGCTCCCTCACTGCAATGTCCCATGATGAGAGTCTTGAAAGTAGAAGGATCTTGAATTCCTCTTCTCATTAACTGTCTAAAGACTTTATCGGCCTTCTTCGTCTTCCCGTTATTGCACAAATATCTGAACATGGAATTGAACGCCGCAACAACAGGTGTACATCCGGCATTCGATAAAACAATTTCTGACTCAAATAAATCATCAAAGAATTTCTCTGCTGTCTCAAAATCTCCCTTCAGGCACAAACATCTTATCAAGATACTGAAAGTGGCCGAGTCAGGATGGACTTTTAGGAGAGACATCTTATCATAAGATTCTAATGCCGCCTTTAGATTACCTTCCTCACAATGCTTGTTGATCAATGTGTTGAATGTACATGTGTCGGGAACGAACCCTTTGTTCTCTTTTTTAGCTACCCTGAATAGCTCCTTAACTTTATCATACTCCTGAGCTTCTATAAGGCCTTGTATGAGAATGTTATAGGTGCTATTATTTGGTTCTATCCCTAAATCAACCATCTCTTTGAAAATATCCAAAGCGTCTTTAATTGAATTGGTCATGCAATATCCTTTAAGCAAAGTGGTGTAAGTGACAACATTAGGGGTCAGATTTGATCCCTTCTTTACCATGCCTTTTACCACATTTTGAGCTATTTTCACCTTCCCGGCCCTACACAGACCATCAACAAGGGTGTTGTACGTGATCACATCGGGCTCACAGTTGTGTTTCTCCATTTCCTTGAAGAACCTGAAACCTTCATTCACCATTGAATTCATGCAACACCCTTTAATCAAAATATTAAATGTGTGCAAATCAGGGTTGACGCCAAATGTCTTGTGCATTTCATCATACAGTTGGTGGACCATACCTGTTCGACCCCTTTTCATCAAAATTGAGAAGAGAGTGTTGAATGTGACTACAGATGGGGAAATTCCGGTTAATTTCATTGTTTCGAAAAGGGCAACGGACTTTTCAAAGAGCCCAGCTAAAGCATAGTTTTTAATCAGACTGTTAAAGAACCTGGCTTCGAGTTCTACAGCACCGTTAGATCTCTTGGGGATGGAAAACAGGAAGTTCCGGGCGGCATTGAGGTCCCTCTCTTTCCCGAGGAGTTCCAGCATGACGAAATAGCATCGGGGTGTATTGGCAACTCCGTTTTTTTCGGCCCAGGCGAAGAACTGAAGGGCTTTCCGAGATCCTTTGATGAGGCTGATGGTCTGAGCAATAGTATCCGCGGAGAGAGAAGGGCCGGAGATAGCGGTGAGAGAAGACTCCGTTTGATGAGTCCACTGCTGGAACTTGATCAGCTCAGCCATTGCTCGAGCTTGCTTGCGTGAGCTTAATTTGGGTTTTGCAGCATCACCGCCTTTTGAATCGACGGAAGTGGTTGCGACGGAGGAGGCAGAAGGATTGGAAAATAGATCGCTGAGAGTCGACAGGAAAAGTGATAAGGGTTGCTGGGGTGGTCTTCTGATATCATTGGGATTATCAAGGTTGAAGAGCTTCTTCAGCCTTAGAGAGTTGGGAACGACGGCCATGTCGCGCAAAAATGTGAGCTTTACGTTGTGCGGAGCAGCATTAACAGTGAACGGCGGCTAACTACTGTGGAGACGGAGCTCTCCAGTGTAGAGTTCCGTACAAAGAAAAAGGAGAGTGACACTCCCAGAATGCGTGTTTGGTTGGAGGATGCAAATGCATTGAAAATTCAATTTTGCTAGAAGTACCCATTTGGTACTTCATTTTGTACCCATTCCTATATGTGTGGTTCACAAAAGCCCAACACATTAAATGAATTGTTCCATATTAATGAAGTGTTTTTGTGAACCACACGTATAGGAATGGGTACAAAATGAGGTACAAATTGGGGTAGCAATAACTTTTTCCTTGAAAATTTGAAACAGAATCTAAGAGCATCATTAATAGGACATTGTTAACATTCTATAATTGTTGACACATGGCCATTAATAAGTGGAATTGTCTTCGACCTCATGTTGAGTCAGGTAGGTGTAAGGATGGCAATGGGGGCGGGGACCCGTGGGGAACCGCCCCGCGGGTGGAGGATGGGGTGGGGCTTGGGGCTTGGGGCGGGGCGGGAGGCGGGGATGAGTGAGATATTTTTACGCCGTTAAAATATGGGACGGGGGACGGGTATTGCTACATCCGCCCCGTCCCCGCCCCCGCCCCGTCCCCGTTATAAATATATATATACTCAAACATTTTTTTTAAATATATACTCAAACATATATATATATATATATATATATATATATATATACACACATCTATAAATATTGTACACACATATTCAATCAAATTATATATAGTACTATAGTATATAACAAACACATATACATAATTACATATAGACATACATATATAATTGTATACGGTTTAATCATGGTTAATGAATTAATACATATTATACTAGAATAATAATAAGCTAGTAATGATTAAAAATATTTATCTGTTATATGAGTATTAAGAGTGAGCAAGTGAGTAAATAAATACACACACATTTATATGTAATATATTATGTAATTAATTGTATTATAATTGTTGAAAATTTTGAAACAATGTATATGATGATAATATGTTTACTTATATTCTTACTTTAACTGTCTTCAATTCAACAAACTTATTCAAATTGAAGAATTATTAAAATTGGCGGTATTGACTTTTAACAAGAACAATACTTCAGTGTTGCGTGGGTGTATCATATATCACTATGTGCGCGTAGATATATATAGGTTTAGGATCAAATGAGAACAACGCTTAACGTGAGAACGTGCGAACACCGCATTTACCCCCAATGTGAAGCACAATGGGCTCGCACAATGCACTTTTTCGTATCTAGCATAATATTTACAAAAGTGTCAACGTGATTATTTATATTAGCTTGTATTGAGCAAAGTCCAAATGTCCAAATGTGCACTAGAGTGGCTCTATTGTGTATCACATTGGATTATTGTGTATCAAATTGGATTAAATGTGAGTGTTCCAACGTTAAGCATCGTTCTCATTGGAATCACACTACATATATTTATGATAAGAGATTAAAAGTATATGCAAAAATGATAAATTAAATCTATATGGGGGCACCCGTGGGGGACAACGGGGTGGGGCGGGTCTGGGAGTAACGGGGGATGGGGCGGGGATGGGGGGAACTTTTTAGACATGGGGCGGGGGATGGGGGAGTGTACCCCGCCCCATTGTCATCCCTAGGTAGGTGGACATTTAAAATTCCAAAATCGGGTGCAATGGTTCATGTTAACTGCCTATAGAACTCTAGCCACGTATTACTTTCAAATTCAACAAATCTCCGGTTGATTTCCTGAAATTTATCCACAGATTTGGCTGCAATTCAACTCCACGTTTGCCAAGTCAGCGTGTGAAGGGCGCTGTTACCTGAAGACAGGGAGTTAAATAGCGTCGAAATTAAATTTGTACGCATCAGCATTACAGAAGGATAAAAATAGTGCGTTGGAGAAGGTAATTTTGCCATGATGTTAAATAGGGATTACGTAGCTCGTTTTTTTAATGTGAACACCTTGTGATTGAAGATGCTCTAAAAAGTACAAATAAAAAGATAATTGAGTTTTTTTAAATAATAAATTTATCCAAAAGGAAAAGTCTAACAAAACAGTCAAAACTAGGAGAGTGTTTTCAAAAAGATAAAAAAAAAAAAATATTTTTGACCTAAAGGTTAAAATTAGTGTTTTCAACTCACAGTTTTATTCTTAAAAAAAAACTCACAGTTTTAATAAAATTAAGAATTTATAGGCTAAAAGCTGGAAATAGGTGAAGAGATGTTTTAAATTGCTTTTAACTGTTTTCAATTATACAAAAAGAACTTATTTTACCAAACACTACTAACTTTTACCTTTTCAGAAACACTTTTTCTCAAACACCGCCAACTTTTACTATTAAACATTTGCTTCAAAATCACTTTAAAATTTTTTTTTTAAAAGCAAAAGCAATCGCAAACACTCTCTGAGAGAAGGTTTGGAATTAATTTTGTTTATGCTTCTTTTTAAAAACAAATGTATAATCAAAATTAGTTTTTCAGAAATTGCTCTCTTTCAGCTTCTAAAAAATGTTTGTGAGAGTAAATGAAGCACTCAAAAGTATTTTTGCACTTTCACTCAAACATTCCGTCTCTCTAAGATTTTCTCATTTTATCATTTCGGTCCGTCCTACTAAGATTGTCTCATACCTTTTTTGGTAAAGTTTGTGTGACTATAAATCATTTTTACTTTATTCTTACTTTATCAATTTAATAACAAGCACATAAATCACTTTTTATATATTTGTGTGTCACTCCTTGTCGCATTGTTAGTGGGACGGAGGGAGTAATATTTTGAATATTTCTAATAAATAAATAAAAGATTGATATGAAGTTACCTCTGAGCTCATACAAGAATTGTATGTGTACACAAACAACTTTTGTTTGTGTCCACATACATTAATTTTCGTGTAAAAAAAGTACATTGGCAACCGCCTAACATTGACATCAGCTTGCAAGAATTGATATGAAGTTACCTCTGAGCTCATACAAGAATTGTATGTGTACACAAACAACTTTTGTTTGTGTCCACATACATTAATTTTCGTGTAAAAAAAGTACATTGGCAACCGCCTAACATTGACATCAACTTGCAAATCAATCTATATATGTGACGTGCATGTGTGCACAAACAATATTTCCCTGTTGCACAGACAATTATTTGTCTGTGTGCACAGATAATATTTACCATACAGATAATAGTCATGCGACTCACATACAATAGTTGTCTGTGTGATCAACTTTAGTTGTCAATGAGAACAATTTTAATTGTCTCGATGAATGAAAAATTTAATTGCCTATATACATCCAAGTGAATGTTGTAGTTGTATGTGTGATCAATTTACATGTAGTTTGAAAAAAATAGAAAAATAATAAAAATAGATGAAATAAGATAAATAAACTGATTATTTACAAATAATGGAAATTTTTTTATATAAAAAGGTAGAAAAAAAGAGGATGAAGAAGGGAAGAGGAAGATGAAGAAGAGAAGATGATCATCCCATATTTTCTTGAGAGAATTTTTTAGGGATTGGGTAAAGACCCAAGAGAGAAGGGAGAGAGAGGGAGAGATAAGTGAGAAGAAAGGGAGAATAATAAGAATTAAATTACTATGAAAAAATATGTGACTTTAAATAGTAAAATGATGATTAATTGAGTTATCCAAACCTCTATGATTGGAGATTTGTTTTGCCAACCAACCGAATCATATTATAAGAAAAGGTAAAAATCCCGAAATATGAGTAAAGAAGTTTTAAAATTTCAAAATATGATTGCCATGTTTTTATTCCTTAAATATGCGTAATTAATGTCAGGTTTGATGGCTACTACCAGGAAGAATCAAAGAAATGCAGGGTCATTGAGTTGATGAGCGAGGAGGGTGTTCAAGCAAGTATGGATGTGGATGAGGCAAATCCAAAAAACATGCAAGTGACGGTGGTGTCTGAAAAGCACTGTCAGTAATCAGTGATTATGGTGACACATAGGAGGAACCTTCGGCGGGAGCTGGTCAAACCACTGTTTCATTGTCAGTGGTTGGAAAAACTGGATACTATTCTTCTTATTTTCCCATGATGTCTAAGTACTCTTTTGTTTTTTTGCTTTTTCTTCTAGTAGCAGGTGCAACATTGCCCGTTAATGGATTCTACCACATTGCGGGGTTAGCGAGTTGGATCGCTATTAAGCGTGACTCTAGCTTTGAATCTCATCCTAGAGTAGCCTTTGATATGACGACTTTGTATCTGGTTCATGGTTTTAATATTAATGAAGTTATCTTTTGCCAAAAAGTGTCAGGTTAAAAAATAGTATCATGTTTAAACTTTAAAGTATGGTATTATAAGTACAAACAGTTTCACTCCTATTTTAGTTCCAAAAAAAGAAATATTGAATGGCCCAACATAAGAGCCCATTCTCTTCCAATGAAATATGATGCCACATTTGTGATGGCCTGTTTGACATAGAGATCAATAGACCCGTCCTCCTCCGCCAGAAATCTCCGACAGATCGAATCTCCTATCACCGCCGGTGTCCGCCACCATGTTCAGACACGCTAGTCGATTACTCGCTCGAACCACAACAATGAGGTGGAGCCGACCCTTCTCTACCGATCTGCAATCGGAGGCGAAAGTGGACTCTACTCTCGTGGATGCCTGGAAAAAACTAATCCCGAATGTTGACCCACCCCACACTCCATCCGCGTACATGAAACCGCGCCCCGCTACGCCATCTTCCATCCCCTCCAAGCTCACAGTCAATTTCGTCCTTCCGTACTCATCTGAACTCGCCTGCAAAGAGGTAAGTTTATATACTCCGTATGTACATACATGTTAGTCATCATTTCAATTCATTTTTTTATAGATTAGAGCCTTTTTATCCCCATGAATAAACTGCTGTCCTTGGCAAGATGAACAAGTTAAAAGATTGAGGGTAATATTGTTTAAGGTCTTTATCAGGGAGGGTGTGTCGTTTGTTCTTTTCTTTCCCATCATCTACTGATAAATTTCTTTCGGTTCTGTATGTTGATGCAGATTATACATAATTTATTACGGAGTAGTATTTATGTATTTTGAATCCCAAAGATTCTTTTACAATTCATGTATACTGATTGACATTGATTAGAGGAAGTCAAAGAACTACTCGTATGTTTTTTTATGTGTGAAGTACTTTGAGGTAGTATAATTACTTATTTATAATGTTTGACCCTAATGACACACAAAAACTTCTTAATTTCCCTAATGACACAAGTACTTAGAGCTCAAGTTTCCCAATTTCAGAAACTCGGATGGTGTTTGAAACTATAAATTTCCATTTTGGGGAACTTTGCGTAATTAAGAAGAATTGGGAAACCTGTTTCCCTAAGTAATTAGCATTGTTTTCAAAATTTTTATGGGATTCCTTGATGGAAAATAGTGCATTTTTAAAACTTTTGGTGAACCTTTATGAAATTTCTTTCTAGCAACATTTTGACATTTCATAGTGTGATGCTTTACTAGAAATGTATCACATTTTATGTTTAATTATGTCCTACTCCAGTAATATGTAACAGTTCCTAAATTTGAACAGGCAGTGTGTATTTATTAATGGTTCCTAAAATATGTGCCTAAATATAAATGAAAGAACACATATACATATATGAAAAAGTATTTACAAATATATCCTTATAGTAGTGTTTTTTAACATTTACATGACCCCACCATCTCTCGTATCCTATTTTTTAGAAATCATGTTTCTCATGTGTTGTGTTTCCCTTTTCGCATTTTCATGTTACTTAGGTTTACCATATTGGCTGGACATTTATTTGAGATTAATCAAAATCTTCAAATAGCTGCCATGCTGGATGGAATGATAAATTTTGTCATTTCCATTGATAACCACTTAACCAGGTTTTCAAGCAAACTTTTGGATCCTCTAAATCATTCTCTAACCTTTTGAGGGGGGAGGGGGTTGTGGCTGTCCCATTTATGTATTTTCTTGTAGTATTTTAGGGTAATCACTAATCACCCATAAGTTATCTGTAGATGCAGTGGCTTTTCTTCATATCACATTGATACACATGATGTGGGGCTGTATAGTAATAGTTACTATATTTCAGATACACCAATTAAAAGCAGATTGGTGGATATGCTAGGGTTACTATATTTCTTATTGGTGGATACACCAGTAATAGAGAAGCATTAGTTTCTTTTTGTTTATTTGGAAATGAGATATAAAAGTTTTTTTTTTCCTTATGCATGTCAAAGTAAGGTCACACTATTAATACAGAGTATATTTGTTGGGTGTGAAGTTTTTTAAAGGAGAATGGCATTTCACTAATTAGTAAATAGTACGATTTTTTTTTTCTCCAGAAAATACTTCAACGTAGTTCCCTGAAATTTCACTCACCAAATGAATTGCTTTCAAAGTAATAACAATATATGTTCCTTGGAAAATAAACTTGTCAAATATTCCAATTATAGTGTGTTCCATGGAAAGTAAGGGAGTATTAAACTGACTTTGACCACATTCCACCCAACCTCAAAAATGTGTTTGTTAGGCTGAAATAGAGATGGGTGGTAAGTGATCTACTTCCTTTGAGAAAGTAATTGCATTCCATGATTCCATCATGATATTAACCTTTTTACCTATATCACAAACCAAGTTTATTGATAAGTAGGTAGGTGTAGTTGAAGATTAAATGTGACTATCGTCCATCAAGTGAATCTCCAAAAAGTTTGGTTCATATGATTGTGAATGTTCTTGTGGATGTGATTGAATTGGGCAGTTTCGCAGTTTGTAGAATTGAAAAAGGGCTTACAGTGAATGAAGGATGTAATACTCCCTCTGCTCGTATTATAAGGGATCTCTTAAAAAAGATAAATGGTCTTTTCACAAGACATTGTTTATTTCAGTGAGGAATGTTTTGTTTTTATTCCTATGTCCCCCCCCCCCCCTACAATATTGTTTGCATATATTTTTAAAAGAAATCATTCACAAGGCATAATAAAGTGATAATTAACCTTTAGTCATCCCATAAATTGACCAGGCACAGTAATTTAGAAGTTGAAAATTGTTTGGTTGAAATGTATGTAGAGAAGTGAGGAATAATGTTAACCATAACATGTTTTTCTCCGAAGAGTGAGGGGTAGTTTTGGAACAGGCCCAAAAGGGGAAGTGTAAATAATTTAAGACTAGAGGGAGTGACATTTTTTAAATAAAGAAAAACAACCAATTTACTTGGTTTGTGAAACTTTTTCAGTTGTGCCATATAACAAGATTCAGAGAGAGTACCTGACCTGAGGTGAGGCTAACCATTATCTGTATTCTGCAAGGCTCTGCTTCTTTCAAGAAACTGTTATCTTAATTTTCTTGTGTTTGGGCACAGGAAAAAACAATTTCCCCACTGCAATTCTTTATCCATAATTATTATTGGTATATATGAGTATATGACAAAAATTAGAGGTCACAGGTTAAGGTCTTGCTGTGTGACTGAGGTCACAGGTTGTCAGGTTCAAGTCATGGCAGCGGCCTCTTTTGGTGGGACCCTTCCCCAGACCCTCACCTGGGCTGTTATTTTTTAAAGTATATGACAGAATATGTTCCTCTGCTTACCCCAGGTTGATATGGTCATCATCCCTGCAAGCACTGGGCAGATGGGTGTTTTGCCTGGCCATGTGGCCACAATTGCTGAGCTTAAGCCAGGAGTCATGTCAGTTCATGAGGGCAGCGATGTGACCAAATACTTTGTGGGTGGTGGTTTTGCTTTCATTCACTCGAATTCTTTTGCAGACATAATTGCCATTGAAGCTGTCCCACTTGACCGAGTTGACCCAAACCTGGTGCAAAAGGGACTCGCTGAATTCACTCAGAAGCTGAACTCGGCATCAACAGATATCGAGAAAGCCGAAGCCCAGATTGGGGTGGATGTACACAGTGCTCTTAATGGTGCCCTTACTGGCTGAAAGAAAGTTTTAATTCTGGTTCTCTTTTTTATCGCTTCTTCTTGTTCCCATCTTGTTTAGTGGACTCATTTTCATAGGATGGTCTGCGCTGGATGGATTTTCTTGTGTACAACCTTGCATGACATTTCTGCAGTCATGTTGCTTCACTTGAATAAACTTATGTGATAGCTATGTTTGAATCATTAAATACTATCATGTGATAGCTATGTTTGAATCATTAAATACTATCAGTTCTATTCCTTTACTGCCGTAATGGCAAATTGTAGTTGAACCTATTGAATGTTTTGAAAGGAAAAAAACACCTGGTAACGTTCTTGCAGCCAAATAACTCAAAAGCTACTCCTACTTATTTTAATGATAATAAGTCAGTATTGGGTTACTAAACAGTCTTAGAGTATGTTTGGCACGTCGAACAAAAAAGTTAACATAATTTTGAAAAGGCTATATGCATATTTATGTTAACTTGAATGATCTTATAGGTTTTTTATCTAACAACTCTAATCAAAATATTAACTATTAGTTTTCATATAATAATTCCCTATTAATTAAATATGTAAGTAAAGTTAATGCTGAGGCACTTAGGGAGTGTTTGCAACAGCTTCTGCTTTAAAAAAAGCACTTTTGGAGTGATTTGGAAAAAGTGATTATTTGTAAAAGTTGATAGTGTTTGAGAAAAAAGTGATTTTGAAAAGTAAAAGTTGGTAGTGTTTGGTAAAATAAGTGCTTTTGGTGTATAAAAAGTGGAAAAGCACTTTTGACACGAAAGCCGAGAAAAATAAAAAATTGGTAGTGTTTGGTAAATAAGTGCTTTTTTAAGCCAAAAGCTGAGAAGTGTTTTTTTAAAGTGGTTGCAAACCAGCCTTTAGTATTTATACTACGGAGTACTTGATCCTTTTTTTAAGAAGGGGGCTTAAATTGATATCACAATATTAGCATTTAGATGGGGAGTTAAACAACAAAAAAGCAATCAACATTGGTTAATCCTATAATATGCATAAATGAGCCAACGACGGTTAAAGCAGGTAAATAATAAAAGAGTTTAATGTAATGGGTTTGGGCCATTATAACTTAGACTCCCTCATCATCAAATCCTAATGCAAGAGTTTTATAATAATAAAAGCAATCAACAGAAAAATGAGCAGTCTGAACCATTTTTTGTCGGCTAGGCATGGACCATTACCGGGCTCCGAGCCCCGAACTGACAAAAAATGAAATCTGAACCATTTTTTGTCAGTTCGGGGGTGAATTGAACCTTTTTTAGTTCAGGGACTGAATTGAGCTTACACGACCGGTACAGGGGGCTATTTGACTCTTTAGCCTTCATATGATGATATGCGTGGCTTAGAGATAGTATATTAATATGAACTTATAAAATCTCATTTTTTTTTGGATAAACCATAAATTTTTATAAGCAAAGAACACCATTACAAAATCAAAGGGGCATACCCCAGTTAGCCAGCAAGCATTTAATCTCCCACACCTTACAACCAGTGAGCATTTAATCAGCAAAATATTACCAAACTAATCAAAACCAGGTCATTTTTCCTGTCAAAACACAATCATATCATGGGGATATAGCTTATACAAAATCTTATAACACACAATCTTGATTTGTTTAATTATCTCATCCGGATCTGTTATGGCACCTGCAAAAACACTTTCATTTCTTGCTTTCCAAATTGTGTAAACCGAGCAGCTCAAGGCAATTCTCGTTGTTTTACTCATCAACCTTGCACCCGTAAACTCTTTTCTAATGTACTTTACTGCCCGGTTTAAAGAAGATAATGGTCTCCTTAATCCCAGCCACCTACAAACGGTCCTTCATATATAGCCAGAGACCGGGCAGTTGAAAAAGAAGTGTTAAACTGTCTCCAAATGACTATAGCACAAGGAACAATTTTTATCCCCTTCCAATTTTATAAATGAAAACCTGGGAGGTATATAACTCCTCCAAATAAAACACATCCAAGGTTTGCAAAAACTTTGGATTCTAAGCAAATCATATACTCCCGTTGGGTTCAATTTACCATTCATAGCTAGTGATTCCAAACCAGTGCGCATCTCTTGCTTATTACCAAACTTCCCAACTAAGGCTTCTTTAACTCTGCCCAGGTGCTTAAGCAAAGGTGATGCTCTTTCATTTGGATTCCATTCCCAGATAGTCACCCTCTTAAGATAAACCCCATAGGACCACCGAATCCAGAGCGAGTCCTTTTTAGAGTGTATATCCCACAGTGTCTTTGCAAGCAAAGCAGAGTTCCACGCTTTAGGTTCTTTAAGCCCCAAGCCCCCTTCCTCTTTCGGATTGCAGATATCACACCAAGCTACCTTCACTCTCTTCCCAGCCCAAAGAAACCTTCTACATGTGGTGATGATTCTGTTGAGAACTGTAGCCGGCAATGAGAAGGATTGCAGCCAATAGGATTGCATTCCTTGGATTACAACCCTAATAAGTTCCGTTCTTCCTGCATATGACAAAGACTTAGACTTCCATCTTGTTACATATCCTTCAATCCTTTCGATTAATGGGGAGAATTGAGCCATAGAGACTCTTAGTGGAGCTAAAGGGATCCCAAGATACCATACAGAGAAAGAGCCTTCTTTTATACCAGTAGACAAAATAATCTCCTCCTTAACAATATCATTGACACCTGCTACAAAAACTTCAGATTTGGCTAAATTAACCGTTAGCCCTGACACCTCTCTTAGTTCCTCCAAGCAAACTAACAGAGATTTTACTGAAATCAAGTTTCATCTAGCAAAAAACATCAGGTCATCTGCAAATATGAGGTGGGAAATCCCCAGTTTGCTACATTTCGGAATTGAAATTAAAGTCAGGTTTTGTCGTGTCAACGACTAGCATCCTGGATAGATATTCCATACAAATAATAAACAATGAAGGAGACAGGGTCACCTTGCCTTAAACTCCTTGCTCCTTGGAAGAACCCATACCATAAACCATTAATAGCTAAAGAGAAAGAGACTGAGCAGGCACACTTCATAACCCAACCAACAAAATTATTAGGAAAGCCAATCCCGAGAAGCACAGACCTCAGAAACTCCCAATTAACTGTGTCATAGGCCTTTCACAGATCAGCTTTAATTAGACATCGAGGTGACACCCATTTTCTAGCATACCCCCTGACTAGTTCTTGGGCGAGGAAAATATTGTCTGAGATCCCTCTGCCCTCTACAGACTACAAAGGCTGCCTGAGCTGGATCAATCGATTCTGGAAGTAGGCAGTTCATTCTGGATGCTAGGATCTTAGTGATTATCTTATAAATAACATTAGTACAAGAAATAGGTCTGAAGTCACTCACCCTAGGATTGGTTGAAGTTTTAGGAATAAGAGCCACAATGGTGTGATTTACCTGTTCAAGCAACCTTCCCGCTCGAAAGAACTCCATCACAACTCTAGTCACATCCTCACCCACTACATCCCAATTATTTTTTTGAAAAAACCCGCTGGGAATCCATCAGGTCCCGGTGCCTTATCATCCCCTATACACCATAGTGCATGTTTAATATCCTCACTAGTGACAGGAGCCACCAGAGAATTTGCCATATCCACTGATACCAACTTTCCTTTCCTCATTACCTGCGCACATCCACAGGCTTACATTTGGTAGAAGTTCCAAAAAGATTCTGGAAATAACTGACAAACTCCTCAGAAACTTCTTTGATGGATGTAGTTGGTATACCATATATCCTCCTTTATGATAAAAGAGATGGTATTTTTGGAGGAATTCTTTTTAGAGATTGCATGGAAATATTTTGTACTCTTATCTGCCTCCATTAAGTAATTCACCTTTGCTTTTTGTTGGAAAAATAGTCTCTCCGCTTCTGCCAGAAAAATAGCCTTCTTACTTGCAATGCTTACTAGTTCTATCAAATTTGCAATAGATGGATCCTCCAAAAGTCTCTTGTGTTCACCTTCATAATCCTCTTTGGCTTTCTTTGATCTGGTAGAAATGTGTGCAAACTCGTTCCTATTTAGCTCCTTTAATGGCAACTTTAAAGCCTTCAATTTAGAACATAACCTTTTCTGCTCTGTTCCCAGGGTTGGTGATGGACAGTGTACCCGGGGGGTAGCTTATCTGAGGGGTTATTATGAGAATAATCTAGAGAGAAGTCAGAACAAACAAGTAAGAGAGAGAGAGAGAGTCGATTGTATTAATAAACTCGAGATGTTCTCTTTTTTTACAAGAGGAATAAAGGGTGCTATTTATGGCAGCAATAAATGCGATGAGAGTACACGCGTCAGTAATCCAACGGCTGAGGGGTTACCTCAATCGGGGTGGCACCGGCACTCGCATGTGCACCGTATTAAATGCGGTGGTTGGACGTGACGCCGCATTAAATGCGGTGGTTGCTTGTCTCCAAAGGGAATCTTCGATGATTGAGCTGTTAGCCGAAGGCTTCCCTGTGGCCGAAGGCTCTGGACAGCCGAGGGCTTGGTGTGGCCGAAGGCTCCTCTGGTGCCGAGGGCACGGAGGTGCCGAAGGCTTCTGATTTCTGCTATTTTCTCCCAGTAGCTTCGTATGCTCAAAACTGGCCGTCCTGTGAGACCTGGAGCCTTCGGTCATGATGCCGAAGGCACCCCGTATGCGCGCCATGGGCTTCTTGACGCTTGGGCCGCTATGATTTGGGCCTATTGGGCCTGTGTCAGAGTAGTAGGAGTCTGTGGGCCGGAGGTTCCCGGGCCATATACTCCATCAGTTGGTTTCCCCCATACCTCTTGCAAAATATCCCAGAAATTTGAAGATTTCAGCCACATGTTATAGAATTTAAATGCTTTACATCCACCCACCTCATTGTGAACTAAAGAAGTAACCACCGGACAATGATCAAAGGCTACGTCAAAACCCAGGAATTCGGCATGGCATAATAATCTATGATCCCTCCAACTTTGGTTAACCAACACTCTATCTAGCTTTGCCCACTTCTGATTTCTTCTCCAAGTAAACAAATCTCCAGTTGCTGGAGCATCCTCAAGCTCCAAACAATTTCTGCAATCAATAAGATCTGCCAACTGATAAGCCAATGGTTCTTTGCTTCCCAGCCTTTCATCCGGACCGCAAACACAATTGAAGTCTCCAATCACTGTCCAGGGTAGTGCAATATTCACCCCAATCTAAGGAGTTGATCCCAAAGCTTCCTTCTTTCACTAATTGTATACAATGCATAAACAATAGTAACCAAGAAAGGGTGCTGGGAGATCAAACATTTCACTTTACAATGAATAGATTGGGGTCCCAGTGTCCCACCTCCACAACTTCGCAGTTCACTCTAGTAGGATCCCAACAGACTACCATTCTACACCCTTCAATGTAGTCAAAATCATTCCCATAACACCACCCGCTCAACTTATTATTCACAAACTCCTTTAACCTTTCTACATTTATCAACTTGGTCTCCAACAATGCACAAAAACTTATATTATATTTTTCCTGATATAATTTACAACAGTGTTTTGTTTAGAGGCCTTATTCATACCTCTAACATTCCAAGAAAAGAGCTTCATTTAAAACAAGAAGAAGATGTTGCACTTCCATGACCTCCCCCTTCTGATTTGCTACCTTTAGGCACCTCAATTCTTGGTAAATGCGTGTGATAAGGTGCACCATTAGACCAACCAGGTCTGATCTGGGTGGCACCCCCACCACCTTTAGTGTTTTTTGCCCCATCACCCTTCTGTTTTAGTGTGACCCCCTTTTGATTAGGTTGTGAAACGGATAGTTTTAGTTTCTCAACCGTGTCCCCGACCCGTAGTTCCTCTTCTAGTTTGTCTTCCATAGCATCCTTCTCTATTGCCTTTGATGTATCAGAAATTTCCTTTGATATCCCTTCTTTTGCAAGGATTAGGTAAAATTTTAGCTCCTTCTATTTTCTTAGGTTCCGGTACCACATCATCCTTTATGCTATCACTAGTCTTGTTCTCCCCCACTTCAGTGTCCATAAGATCTAGACCCTCATCATCCTGAATCTGCAGCGTAGTGACAATATGGTCCTCCGTTATTGCCTGTTCGGCTGTTCTCTTTCTAGCTGGTGGAGAGACTTACACGTAAAAGCATGGTGGCCATACTTTTTATAGTGAAAACAGTAATTAGGAAATGTCTCGTAGATGATGAATTGTCTTCTGTTTCGCCTCGAGGGAAGCTTGATGTCCACAAGCGGGGGGGGGGGGGGGGGGCTTAGACACATCAACTTCCACCAATATTCTAACGTAGTTCAATCTCGTCTTGTCACTAGTAATACCATCGGTGAATATAGGCAAGCCAACCTTTGAAGCGATCTTACTAATAGATTCTTCCTTCCAACAATCCATAGGTAGTCGAGGTAGTTTAATCCATATGGGAACTTTCAAGAACTCTTCATCATCAAAACTAAACCCCACCTGCAGATTTTTTAACATTAGTGCTCTCCCCATAACAACATAAGGCCCCTCCATAAGTACTTTCGCTCTATCCTCTTCATTTTTGAACTGAAAGACAACCCAACCTCGTTCATGTGGTAGTAGTGTACATCTAACTCCCCAGGATCCCATGAGAAGATGGATAACCCTCATACCCGGGAAGGTGCTATAAAGCATCCCACTAGGTAGTATCCCCAGATTGAGATGAGGTCACATTATGTGCCATCTGAAAGGACCACAAGATCTCTCTCCGTTGGTATGTATCTCAGCTTAAGACCTCTGTTTGGAGCTCTATTATCTTTGAACAGTCCAACCCAAGAGGTTTTTGATCCACTATCTCCATTCTGTTCAGACATATTCTCAAACACCATATGTGCAGTCACCTCTTTACCTTTTCGTTTCTTCTACCATGTGTTTGCTGGTTCACTCCCTCCTCTTCCTTACTAGTCTCTTCTACGTCTTCCAGAATTACATTCAAGTCAACATTTACCTTCTTTTTTCCAGTATCTTTGTCCTCCGTCACTACCTGGGACTCCCATAGGCATGGAGCCGGGTCGGGTCAAGCCCGGGTCGGGCCTTTTGTGTTTGGGGGAAGGCCCAGGACTTGCCCGGGTTGTCGCTGGGTCCGGGTCGGGCCAGGCCTCGGGCCAATTTGGGTTTTTTTCCTTTTTCAAATTAACCCCTGACCCCCCCTCACCCCACCCCCCAAACCACCCCAAATGGCCCAAAATACCCAGTCCAACCCGGGGAATTAAAAAAAAATTGAAAAATAAAAATAAAAAATAAAAATAAAGCCCGAACCGGGCCCAGCCGGGTCGGTTACATATTCAGCTGACCCGAGCCCGCCCTTCCCTAACCAGCAGGCCGGGCCTACCCGAACCGGACTGTAGCGGGTCACCGGGCCGGGCCGGGCCTAAACAGTACCGGTCCCGGGCAGCCCGACCCAAGTCCAAGACTAAACTCCCTTGGGTCAATTACAGTTGTTTCGCTAGAAATACCAACTCTCCTGGATGAAGCATTTTTCTTATTCTTCCCCATCCCGGGGAGAAGAAATCAAACGGCCTGAAAGCCCGGAAATCAGGAATACCCTCTAAGCAAGATAGGAAGCACGTTATCACCTCACTGGCATCCAAGAAAACAGGAAGTTGACTGTATTCTTAGAGAGAGAAAGCTCTCAAACCAGCGCGTCAATTATTATATAAAATCTCATATAAGTTTTATTTGACATACACGAAACTTTCAATGAGTTTTCAAATAATTTAATCCATTAAAGATCAATTAAACTTCAAGTTTCGTTAAAAGATGTAAACACACCACATCTATTATTCAGGTGCAAATAAATAATCATGTAGCTTCTTCAGGTTCAGAGGCGTCTGCTTCAAAAATTTTACCATCATCATCAAAATATACCACTGTAACTCCCGTGTCTTTTGGATCATTTTGGCCTTCCTCCTCGGCCCTTCTTTTCTGTTCTTCTACTTCACGCTCAACAACTCGAGCCTTTGCTGCATCTAACCGAGAACCAACTGCTTCCCATGACACAAGCTTCTCCATAAAAACAGAAATGTAGTCCGGCCGACAGTTCTATCAAACAAATGTACTTGTCAAACCAAGATTGTTATCCACTTTGGATGAGTTCAAAGGCATAAACATTATTCCATCCGTCAAATATTACAATAAAAATAAAGTCATAGTTTAAGCATTCCCTTTTTGGAACAGTTTAATTTAACAAAACTAATTTTTCTGTAATCAGCCAAATATGATATAATACATTTTCTTTTCATTATTAGGTTGTTCCTACTTTAGGTGCACTACTATGAAATTCGTGCAACTTTTGGTCGTTATGGAAACTTATAGCTTTCATACAATTTTCAAACTGTTTGCATTGCATAAGTGACATAAATGGAAAGAATTTATATGATAAACTTTGTTGAACCAGTATAAGTTGCATGCATGATTAGTGGAATATATGAGTAGTACTTATCATTAAAAAAGGTGTATAATTTGTGAAACAATATTGTGTGGTGTTTGGGGGAGGGGGGGTTACTAGTTAACTTCATTGGCTTCAACCTTTCCTCAAACTCGAGGTAAATTTGTTGAACCAGCAAATACAGAGTAAGTTTTAAAAATTGCATACAAGTGAACTTAGAGTAGTACACCTCCATTAAAAGAGTTGTATAATTCGTCAAAGAATACATTGTGTGGGTGGGTGAGTGGTGGGTGTTTACTAGTTAACTTTGCTGGCTACAATCTTACCTGAAAGTCTAGGCAATTTTATTGAACCAGCGCATAAGTTTTAAAAATTGCATGCATGATTAGTGGAATTATAAGAGTAGTACTTATCAACAAAAAAGCTGTACAATTGGTCAAGCAATATATTACGTGGAGGGGTGTGTATTTAACTTCACTGGCTTCAACTTTACCTGAAAGTCTAGGTAATATGCGTGCTGCAGTAATATGCCAAAAACGAACCAGACTAGTTAGTAATTTCACAACATATCTTGGTAATTAAGGAATTGAAATGTTAAACGTAAAAGATAGTGTTCCCTTACCTCCCAGACATCTATTGTTAGGAGTGGCTGTACAAAAATCGAGAAGAGAGAAAAATCAATTTCTCAAACAGATAAATCTACAAATTGGAAAGGAAGACGTAAGCTTATAAAAAAAGATGACACCTCATCCACAAGAGCCCCAGAACTGACATGACAGTTATTTGAACTTTAATCACACACTGGTGGAAAGAGATTGGAGTTCCACCCTCTTCCCACCAAGTGAGCTACGACACCCGGCAAACTTATCATACAATTGCAAGCCAAATACCCAAAGAACTTCGACTTTAAAAAATGGGTTGACCCACTTTTGAAATGTCCTATTTAGCCCCTAAGCTTACCAAAGTAATACAATAATGACCCTGGACTGTCAAAAGAATAACACAAGGTAACTGCATAATGCATGTTTTACCTTTGAAAAAGATTTTACTATCTCTTGCAGCTTTTTAACATATGAAATCACATTTGTTTACCTGATATATGCACATGATATCCACTAAGTTTATGGGCCAAAAATGGGATGCACAAAGACTTCAGGGCTAACCAAGATTTATTATTAAAAGTTCAGGGTTATTTTTGGGTGTTCACCTACAACAAAGAAACCAAAATAGAAAACCATTACTCCCTGTGTCAGTCTGTCTCCAAATTAACCTCTCATTTTCCTTTTTCGTCCTCAAAATTATCTTATCATTTCTTTCGAGAGAGTTGTGCTACACTGCTACATACTCATGTGATTCATGTCTCAGAGGAAGGTTTAATTATTTTGTCCATCCCAAAATGAGGTTGATGTCTCCTTACTAAGGAAATAATTGTGTGGTTCATATTAATCATCCCTCATCAAAATATATCTCAATCACAAAATTTTAATATTCTTAATAAGCATGCCAAGTCAAATTAGGAACTTTGTTTTGGGTCAGATGTTATATTTGGTCTCATCTTTCTTAGTAAAGTCAATCACACAATTTCACTCCTAAAAAGCGCTTACAAGCAACAGAGAATTTGATTTGGAGATAGAAGAAGCACTTGGCACTTACAGAGTAATCCCATACAAGAGGGTTTACAGCATTGGGGGTTTTAACAATTACAAGCTTCTTGTCTTTTTCCGATGGAAGGGGATTTATTGCATTTTCCACGTTAAGTTTGTTGGCCTTGTCTGTGGGCATGAATGAAAAAGGATAAATTATTCCCACCATTAATAGAAAAATTATTACTTGGCCGGTACACAAATTGTAAGAGACAAATTGCTTAATGAAGCTGCTCTCACATGCAAGCCAAGCCCAGCCAGAGCCAAACTGTGTTGCTGCAGCTGTTTTGAACTCTTTCACAAACATGTCAAAGGAACCGAAGTCTCTGTTTATCAGCTCTAGTAGTTCTCCTGATGGCTCTCCACCACCACCTGGCTTCATTGACTCCCAGAAGAACTCATGATTCCAAGCCTGCAAGTGCACACGTGATTCACACACAACAAATCTATAGTAGTTAGTCACTATGTGTACCTTAATTAATTAATTAATTAATTAATTAGTACTATAAACAGTACTCTGAAGAGCACTAAACGCCTAGGCAGGGTCTTACATGGCCGGCCATAGGTGTTGAACATAATACATTACGAAATGGATTGTTAAGATCATGAGATGTCATCTTAAACGATATAAGAAGTAGCTCAAGACCTTATATAAGACCTTATATGTGGTATATTTATATTTTCCCATTTGATGACTAGGAGGGGCTGATCAGTGACTGGCGGAAAAGAATTTTTTATCAAATTCTGGTGGTACATATACGTTAGGAATTGGAGGGCTTAAATATATTTCTCTAATTTTAAATATGATTGTTAATGAAACAAGCATGTACTGAACAATTTGAATATGAGAAAACAAGCATGCATGAGTTAATGGGTAATCAAGTGCATCTATTAAGTATAAGTTTCAACAGACAACTATCTGCGAAACAAAAGCTTCATTCTTACATATTCAGCCGATGGGGGAGACTTTTTAGCATTATCCAGCACTAAAATAAAAAGTCAAACATCTGCTGGGACAGATTTGAGGCTAATATTTTAGCTGATCAGGCTCCCAACTTGAACCAAACATCACTATCATCGAATCCACCCAAACTAGAACCCAATATATTCATGCTCGGGTTGGAAACACCCCTAATCAGGAGGAAAATAGACCAAAGCAGACGGATCGGACAGAGTGAATTCAGGAACAATGTATAAAGGTTGAGATTTGAGAAGGTGTGAAATATTTGTGTCACCTGTGCGGCATTGTTGAAAGAAGGAAGCGTATTGCCTTTGTTGTATGTAGCCAATACAATGTCTTCTAATCGCATCCCATCAAGTTCAGTTCCAACTATATGCTTGTTTAATTTATCCACATAAGCCCTGTGATGTTTTCCCCAGTGATATTCAAATGTTTCACGACTCATGTGAGGTTCCAATGCATTCTACCAAATCCACAAGAATGCCAAAGGGAGCATTTGGTTCAAAATAATTCCTATCAGAGCCCAACTCTTAGCATTTATAAAAATCATATCGGTCTCCAGGTTTAATTCTTTTGTAAATTGTAATTGTGGTGAATGATTATGGATTCGTTGAAATTTAAGTCATTCCAATCACTTACTGGGTAGTATTTGTACAGTTTCTTAATGATCACTGGATAAGTAAGCGATTGAAAAGACCAAAAGTTGCAAAAATCGTAGTCAAGCACCAGAAGTAAAAAAGAAAATTAAATTTGGGACCAAAAGAAGAACATTTTCTATACTAAAAAAAGTAACGTCCTTGTAAGAGAAAACTCTATTTCCATGTTCACAGTAGATGAAGCAATTCCAATTGCAACTTAGGGTTTCATAGTAATATAGTGCCACACAAAACACTTGCTATTCATCAAACTGCTATGCAGAAAATGTAAGCATTCACCAAGAAGTGTGATTAAAAGGGTAGATGAGTATGACTCTTGAATAATCTTACCATTGGGTATGGTGGAGGCTTTAGCTCAAATGCAGCTCTTATTTTCTGAAACCCGCATCTTTTGAACTTAGCCTGCAATTGGTAAAAGGCAATGGGTTCTGAACCGCATAATCTTTTAATCAAGTATAGTCCGAATTAATCTTGGTATTCAAGTTCGTGCAAGAACTGCAAGTTTGAGTCCACTCAACCCCATTTGAAGGCTGTCTCGAGCTCAGCTTGGGATGGTCTCAGAGCTTGTATGGGCATTCGAATTCGACTCATTCAAACTCTAGTAAATGTCATATCGAGCCAAGCTGTGCTCAAAAGCCATATACAAGAGTAAAGTGCTCAATGCCGACTTTTCAGACTAAGTTAGCTCAGCCAGTTTAGTAACCAAGATAGACTCGTTTTCTCACATAAAATAGTTCAGCTCGAGCGGTAGTGTGACAAGCTTAGACGATTCGAGTTCAGGGGAAGCTCAATTTGTATAAGAGGGATATAACTAAAACTTGCATTTCATCAAACATATGTTCTGCCTATATTTTTAGCCAAATTGGAATGCAGGATAGCTGAATCTTTCCCACATAGGTTATCATACACGAGCGAGTAACGATACCTTATGCGCTCTACAACTGGAGTTACTATACTTTGAGCCCAGAAAGCCTGCAAAAGCAGTAGAGCACATCACTGAATTAATGTTCTACAACATTGGATAAATTACAAAAGAGAGCGAGAGTGAGACCCTGGCGAGAAAAGAAAGCAGATGAAAGGGGATTGGTAGAAGCCACAGCGGCCATCATCTCGGCGTTTCTCGGGACAGTGGAAAGTGGCAGTCAGCTCTTGCCTTGCAGCCAGTGACGAGTGGACGAGCCAGTTTGGTATATTTCACCTTATTAACAGTTTGACATCACCAACTTTTTCACTTGATGATCACAATAGGTGATCATCAAGTTTTTATACTAACACTCTGGGTAGTTAACTAACTACTCTACTAAGGGTTTTCTTTTGGACTGAAATTTGTTGGTCTGGTCTGGTCTGTTTAAATCTGGTCTGGTCTGTTTAAGTCTGGTCTGGTCTGGTCTGAACTGGTCTGGTCTGGTAAACGTCTGGTCTCTGTGTATTTTATAACTACGAAAGTCTGGTCTGGTCTGGTCTGGTCTAGGACTGAAAACAGTCCAAAAGAAAACATCCTAACTCAGTCAAGGGCCGAGTCACGAGTAGGATTGATTACCCGGGATTACTCAGTGACTACTCGAACTTTTATTAATTAATTTAATAACATAGGTGCCCAAGATTATAGAAATATACTCCGTAATAGTCTTTTTTTTTTTTATCCCGGAAGGCAAACCACCAAAATCAGTGGGACATATGCCGGGAGACATATGCCATAATTTTATTAAAAAGGTAGATAGTACATAAGGAAGGGGACTAGGCCAAAACTTCCTTCAAAAATTTTAACAACATTAAATAAATGAGAGCAAGAAAAGACGAAAATACAATGAGCAAGAAAATTAATGACGAAAATAAAAAAGGCCATAATTATCAGCACATAAAGCCTTTTTAATAGTACTATGCAATTCATTAATGGAAAAATAAGCCTGAAGTGAGCTGGCATCAGGATTGCATCTGGATAGGTAGTGAGCTGGCCAATTTTGCTCCCTAAAAATATGCCCAAAAGATATATGATGCTCAACTTTCCAAATTCTCATCTGTTCGAACAAGCCTCTCCATCTCCTAGTCTGCAAACCATCTTCAATCGACCTGATAACCTCCAAAGAATCGGATTCAACTTCAAAATCCCTAAAACCTTTCCCAATAGTCTTTAATTGTCTTAAAATGCATAGAAATGAATAAATGATAGAAATACTAATGATGAAGTAGCAAAAGTGATAAACATTCCAAGTCTTCAAGAAAATCAATCATCTAATAATTTGGTAGGATTTCTGTTCTCTCTCCCCATGTCCATCCTATATCATCTGATTTTTTTTCTTAAGTGTAGTAAAAGCATATTCTGACAATTAGATGATGTGTGTCAGTGTGTATCGATCAATGATGTGTCATAGTAAACATCAATTTAGTGATATTAATTTAAAGTCACGTAGTATAATAAAGTCATACTAGTGAAAAGAATTTATTTATATCAACATGCATGTATGTGTGTGTCAATATTAAACAATCAAGATGGTGATATTTCAAGAATGCGGAAAACAACAACCGGCGAAGAAGGATTGGAGGGCGGAAGAAGAAAAAATGAGAGAGGGGATGATACGAGAAAGAGGATGAAAACTTATTGAGAGATCGTAATCACACCTCGGGGATAGTAAATGTCAGGAACTTCATTTAACCTGGGTTTTTTAACATAGTTTTTCAACGTTATAAGGCCGGGACCGAGTAAGACCGGGTACTCGCCGAGTTGAAAACTTCACCGAGTTGAGAAACTCGCGGAGTACTCGGCGAGTAACTCAGAAATAAAACACGGACCGAGTCAGATAGCTACTCGACAAGGTCGGTACCCGAGTTGCGAGTACTCATCGAGTACTCATCAAATAGATAACCCAGCTAACACTATTTTAGTTATTTTTCATATGGAGTATAATTTACGTAATATTTTTATTGTATTTAAAAAATATATTTTAAATCTAACTTATCATAATTCATTATATTTAGTTAATTTATCGTCTTCACCGAAGTTTTATCAGTTTCAGTAAGTCCAAGCAATTCAATCAATTTCCGTGTTATCAAACTAGTTTGAAAATTGTAAATGTGTAGGTTATTGTTATTATTATTGTAAATGTGTAGGTTATTGGTATCTATAATAATTTAATTATAATAGTAATACTAAATAGTATAGTGGTATTAGTAACACTTATTATGATGATGATCATATTTATAAAAATAAGGATAATTATAATGATAATAAAATGATGTTATAATTAGATAAAATTCCACTAATATTACTCTTTTAAGAGTTATGGACAAAAATGTGAGTTTGTAACTTTAGTTACTATAATTATATTCAAAGTTACTATGATGTAGTGGCCATGATGTAAACCATGAACACAGTTATAGTAACTACTTTTATTGGTATGTAAACCATGACCCATGAACACAGTATATTCAAACTTTTTTTTAAATGTATTACTCCCTACGTCCCACTAACAATGGCACAAGAGGGAGTAACACGCATACCAATAAGTTACCAAGTCATATTTTTGTTCATGACTTTTGTATTAGTAATATTTTAGGAAAAACCTCTTATAATTATACTTATAGTTATAATTGTAATTATAGTCATAATTATAATTATAAATATGATTGATAATAATGACAATGATAATCACAATAATAATAATAATAACTTAATAATACTAATAAACACTCAATCACATGATTTTTTATATCAGATCGGAATGATTCAAATCAAATAAAAATCAGAAAAACTCAGATCAGATCGATCAGATTAGAAGATTCAGATCAGAAAGATTTGTACCACGGGATCATACAAGATCAGACCAGATCACATAAGGTCTTAAAATTTTCAAATCATAAATATTATCAATATCAGACCAATAGAACAACTTCATACAACCATATTAATAGAGTATAATTCTTGGAATAAATACAATATCAATTTAGTTTCAAAAATAATTGTACAACATTGAATTATTTAAATAATGAGACTAATACACACTCTAATCATACAAAGTTAATCTTACACATTTGAGTGAGACTCTAACACAAGACCAAATAATTTTTTAAATAATGGAACTTAGTTCATGTGAATAGGACTATAATTGTATAACATCGATAATACACGTGAATATCCAAAATAATTTAAAATTGTGAACTCCACATATCCCCAATTCCAATTCATCACTTTCTCTCACCCCTCATCATATAATTAGACCTAAATAATTAATAACTATTACAACAATAAGCACACACTAGTAGAAAAAGGGGTTATGGTGACACTAATTTAGTGTCACTGAATATTTCTGTGACACTAAAAAAGTGTTGGGAAAGGTGGGGGCTAGTGACACTATATATAGTGTCACTAATTGTAAAACGAAATAGTGTCAGTAAATTATGACACATTAATGTGATGTAAGATTATGACACATTGGTATCATAAAAACGTTGTGACACCTTGGTATCATAAAAATTTACGACACATTGGTGTCATATAATTACAATAATATTATTATTATAGTCATTGTATTATTTCGTTCTAGTTCTATTATAGATTATATAAATAATTATAAATAGCCAAAACAAAAGAACAATATTTTTATTTATTACTCCAATTATTTTACAATGTCAATATCAATAAAGTACTACGTAGTGCACCTCTTCACCGAAACTAGGAGACCTCCAAATAATTCCGCATGTGCAAATAATTCCGGAAGTAGGGCTTCATACTCTCATTGCCCGAGTAGCATAGGTATCTCTAATTCTTCATTTCTTTTTTCATCAGTTATTTAATCTATTGATCGGGAAAAAACTTGATAAAACAATTCTACTGCTTACTAAACTATGGTTTGAACTGAGATAATTGACCTCCAGATGGTTGGCCAAGTAGCAGAGGCCCTATCTATTTCTTCATTTCTCTATATCTACATAAAATTTATGGTGATGCCAAAATTTAAAAATGAATTTTTTTTCATAACTTTCAGCCATTTCTAATAAAAAATATCAGGATAATTGTAATAATCTTTATACTCTGAGTAAAGATTCTCATTCGTTTTACGATGTTTAGACGATAAGTTAATAATCGTCTAATCTCGATCAATAATAAAATTATACAAAGTATTATTATATATTTAAAAAGATAAAATTTATAAATTCAGAAATTGCATAAAAAATTCTACAGTGACAAAAGAAATTCAAATTTAATAAAAGTTGAAAATTTAGAGTAAAATATTAGAAATAATTTACAAAAAGGATGAAATTAGAAAGAAAAAGCAAAAAAAAGAGTAAAAGACGTGTCTTTTGTTAAAATAGTGCTCTGTATCATAACATGCACAGAGAAGCATCGATCTGTAGGATTATTTGGCGCACCATATTGAAGATCAGACATGTCTCTTCACGAAACAACGTCTTTATCCTCATAAAAATCAACAATTAAGATCGATCAGATGTGCGAAGAGCATCAACACAAACATGTCCGCCACGGCTCAGAACGCTAGCCGCAAGAGGAAGATGAAGGAAGTTGCTGAACACCCGCCACTCCCGCCGCTCCCGCCGCCGCGCTTCACCTATTCGCCGGCGACACAGCTGCAGCTGTTCCCCCCTCATCAAGCGGAGGCGACTTCGTCTGCCAACCCGCTGCCTTCGCATTTCGACACCGCTCTTCGCTTGAGCAGCAGCATCCCCGCCCGTCAACAAGGCGGGGATGAAGATTTGCAGTGGCTGTATAAGCCTGTGCAGTCGTGCACTACATTGTTGCTCACTGGAGACGGCAACAAGGAGATGGATGGTCTTCATTATAATCCATTGTTTCTCCCCGGAGGAGACGGGAAGAAGGTGGAGGAGTTTCATCATAATCTCCAGAAACATTACCCTATGATCCAAAATGCTGTCAAAAGCTATGTAAGTGCCCTCACCGGAATGTATATATTTAAAGTAGGAATTATATCGGTATTTGGTCATTTTTTAAGTTTGTCATTTTTTCCTTTCCATAAAAATGATACTGCCTCCGTCCCTTTTTAGTTTGCCAAACACAAATTTTTTAAGTCAAAGTTGTTTAACTTTGACCGATTATATATTTATACACGGTAATATTAATAATAAGAAAATTATATGAAAATGTTCTTTGCTGAAAATATTATTTTAAAAGTATAAATTTATTAACTTTTACATAAATATATTAGTTAAAATAATGAATTCAAGTTTATCATCTTTGATTGGAAAAGTCAAAATTGGCAAACTAAAAAGGGACGAAGGTAGTATGAAAATATTATTGATTATAAATATAGTCACAAATGTACTCCATTTTAAACTTAAACGGAGTATGAAATACTACATCCGTTCTTAAATAAATGCAACATGTTAAATTTAAAATTATTCACATATTCTACTTTGACTAGATTTTATTTACTAATGTATTAATATTTTTTATGAAAAAAATATTGTTAAATTTGTCTCGTTGTAAATTTTCAAAATCTAGTTTTTTTTTAAAAAAATTTTACTAATACAAAATTATATATATTAATGGTCAAAGTTGTTATTGATAAGTGTGAAATGTTGGCCGTTGCATTTATTTAAGAACAAATATGATTATTGTCTATTGTCATCGAATACAAACGTAAAATGACTAACTAAAATGTGATGGTAATTCTAAATGTTACAAAAAACTAAATAGGAATCGATGTAGTGTTTAAAAACACAGTTGATCTTTATTTAGTCTTCAAAGCACTGCATACTTCTTCTATTTTTTATAGTTGCAACTTTCTCAATTTGATGTTTATCAATACACAATTTTGCTTGTCTATACATTTAATTCTCTATTAATAAAAAAAGGTTAAATATTAGATATTGAATGAAAATTTGTAATGAGATGGATTCAACAATATTTTCAGAAAATATAATTTTCATACATTAACAAATAAAATATGATCAAAGTATAGAATGTGAATATTATAAAATTGTACGGGTTAATATTTCTTACATATTCCCCCATGCATGATGAATGCATTATTGTTAGGGAAAATCTTGAGTTAGTAGTAATTATAGTAGTAGCTTTAGGTATACTCGTTGTATTTTGCGTTCAATTTTAAATTTATGACAATCATATCATACTCGATGATAGTAACATTAGTTATATTTCACTAACTAATACGGAGTACGATAGTATCTATTTTAGTAATACTTTAAAAAAGTCTTAGGGACAGGCCCTACAAATAGTAGAGTGAGTCGATACAAAGATTTTTTCCAAATAAATTTACAATGATTTATCAAATTTGGAGTGAGTTTGATCATAGCTAGGGTTTTTATCTCCTCCCTACTACTTAAATGTATTTACATGAGGCGTGTACCATATACATTGTACTTTGTACTTCATACTTCCCTACTCCCTATTAGTTTTATAGCTTTTTATATCCTCCCTACTCCCCGTTAGTTTTAGAGCTTGATTGTTAATAGTTAATACAGTACAAAAATGAGTTAAATCTGTTTGATTTTGTTGGAATTTATGACCTTCTGTCTGAAGCAGTTGTATTATGGCAAAAAATTTAAACATATACCATTAACATAAAGAAAAAATTATACACTACTCCGTAAGAAAATGTAGCTAGAGTGGTTCTAACTAAAGTACTTCAACCGACTTAGCTAAAATAGTGTAACCCCAGCTTTACTTATAGCCTAATGTTAGCACTCAAATTGGCCGAGCCGACCGAATCTGTTGAATTTTTTGGAATTTTAGCTGAAGGAGATGAATTAGCTGAAATGCGTTGAATTGTGGAAAATTTATACGTAGTACATAAAATGTTGTATTTATACGTAGTACATGAAAGTAGCTAGTGTAATCTACAAAATGTAATCTATGTATAAAATTTATACGTAGTACATAAAATAGTGCATATTATTCATTCAATTCACAAAGCCTTCTACAAAAAAAAAAATGAATTACAAAATTAATAAGTCACTGGTAGCCGACTCACTCTCTCTTATAGAAGGTCCCGACAGTTCAATTCTCAATGCCTCTAGTTTACCTCGGGCCCCCAACTCCCCCTCCCTTCCAAAGCCCTTTGGGGTAAAAAAAAATTAACAAAGTCACTTGTATATTTAATCATATTATTTATAAGTGATTTTAAAATTGTTAAATTTGTTTTTGGAAGGATTTTAGGCATGAATTAGTATAACTGATTAAAGGGTTTGACAAATTATCTGAAGTGCGTGGATGGGATAATGTATAGAATTTATAGATAGTAAATATCATACCACGCACAAATCTAGCTAGAAGAGATTTGTGCATTAAACTCATACCGAGTATTTATATGCATGCAGAGGGATCAGGTGATGGAGATAATGCAAGAGATGTCAATGCGGCAAATAGAGGTCATGACTATAGCTAAAGAGAGAGTGATGAAGGACATGAAAGAATCTCATGAAAGATTTATGGCCAGAGAAATTGAAAAGAACAACCTACTAGAGAAGGTGCTCGCGGGCTACCGAGACCACTTTATGAAGTTGGGGCAGACTTTAACGTCTATGGATCACACCAACGATTCTCTAAGGGCGACTCTGCAAACCCCTCTCCGCGGCAGAGGGAATGGCAGGACCCTCACAGCGCCGCACGCGGCAATGCTAGAGGAGGACACACAGTCGTCATCTGTTGACGCAGAGGAGTCTGACCCTGCCGTTATAATTACTTGTAGGCTTTGCGGCCGGCGGACTGCGACGGTGTTGCTCTGGCCGTGCCGCCATCTCTGCCTGTGTCAACGTTGCAAGGCTTTGGCCAACCGCTGCCCGATCTGCCAAACGGTGTTCGAAGTCGACGTCGAGATTGACTTTTCTGTCTAAGCTAAATATAGCCAACATCTTGGTTATTTGTATGGAATCTTTGTTTTTTACTATTACAATGAAATAATTAAATAAAGGAAAATTCTATCGTGCATTTGTTAATTTGGAAGGCACCCGTACCCACGAATTTATAAGCCAATCAAAGTATGCCACATCACCATTCTATATTAATATACTCCGTAGTAACCTACGATTCTTTATGTCATGCTGGCAACCCCATGAAGGTTGCAGATGATTTAGAAAGTAAAAGTTAAAACCACTGACGCGACGAAGAAGAGAGGTCGCCAAGTAAGATAAGGAAGGAGGAAGAGGAAGTTATCAGACTAATTTTCGCCGCCGTGGAGCTGCCTGTGTTTGCCGAAAACCGTTGATGCTACTGGAGCGTCGCCTGATCGCGTGAAGTGGAAACATTTTTGCCCAGACCGCTGGAGAAGGAAGGTTCAGATTTTTTCGAACTGCCACTAATCATCGTCAAAAACCAGAGCCTTGGCAAAAGGATTCAATTGCACATACTTCTAATGGTTAATTTAATGATAGATTCTATGGTATTTATGGTACCGTACCTTTGTGCACATGGACCAATCAGAATCATGTAGTTGAATTATTTAAATCTAAATTAAAAGGGATTTAATGATTTGGACCAATCAAATGCATGGTAGCGTACGGTACCCCATTTTTTAAATGGGTACCGGAGTTGTCACCTAATTTAATTACTCGGTAGTTATTTAATTTAAAAAACTAGTCTTTTACCCGTGCGTTGCACGGGATAATAGACCAACAATGTGCCTATGAAGTCATCCAATTGTTCCAAGGACTATGAATGTGCATAAAGTTTGTTCTCTTTGATCATTACATGGCCTCGATACACATTTCTATTTAATCTTTTCAACATCCCATATATATCTCAAGATTGCATGCTTCAGTTGTAGGCCTGTTGTCAAATAACTCAGCCCTATTTGACTAATAATGTTATTTTTTTCTTTCTAGTAAAAAGACTATCAATGAAGCAAGCACTCAAGATTCTCCTCAAAGCTATGATAATTCTTCTTACACTCGTGTATCCAAATAAAATAACTTCATTAAAACAACATCATCTTCAATAAAATATCTTTAAGACTTTAATAAGATGGTATGAAAGTAATTCAATTAAGAAAGAGCAATCATACCGTTCTTTGAGCTTTTAAAACGAAAAGCATGACATCACTACCCTACTTGGTTCTAAACCAAAGTTTTACAAAATAACTCTTTTTTTTTTCCTTCAGGGGAGTCTGGGGGAGGCTGGAGGGCCTGGAGTAATCACGGCCGAAACTCACTCCATTGAGTTTTTGAACTCGAGGTCTCTCATAAGTCAGAGTGAGTCGGCGACCAGTTGGGTTGGACCGCTTCCTCACAAAAGAACTCTATTAAAAAGAGCCTTTTGCGTTCGAATGTATTGAACTTCTAATGTATGCGACCAATATTGTTGAACTTCTAAAATCTGATAACGACATAGGCGAAGTTGAGCCACACGATCTGATCTATCTCTCATTACATGATATGACCGGCTCAAGCCCAATCATTGATATGCATTATAACTCTATACTTAATCATGCGGCCATTACCATCTAGGCATCTAGTGGACTTGGGGAGTACAAAATTTTTTGTCAACGAATACCTTGGCAATGGCCAAGGCTTTCACAAAAAAATTGGAAACAATAAAGAAAGATGGGGTTTCAACTTTCAAAGAGAGTAGCAGAGGCCGACATAGTCACATAAGCGCCAAAGAATATCCGAATACACAGAGTTACGCAAATACCTTATAGTTTAGGCGGGATACTTAATTGAGTTAATTAGTATATAGGTATAGATTTTGACATTGTTTTATTTACCAAACTAAAAGGCCAAAGCTTCCATAAAAACAACTAATAGCAAGAACACTGATCACGAAACTATTTATTTTCCTAAAACCGCTTCCCTATCGAATTTTCACAATTGGTATGACAGACCATCTCATTCAATCCAAGCTGGAGGGAAAAAGGCCTCACAGGTTGAAGTGCATCAGCAAAACGTGTTTTCTAGTCGAATGAATACCCATCAAGAGAATATAAAACATTTATAATTCCTACAAACTTTGTTTTTATTTGTTTCACAATTTTCCACACCCGTTTCCCACAATTGATCACAGTAGGAAGAATATGGGTAGAAGTTATGGAATCAGACTGAGATGTCATCGTTGCTTATTTTTCATAATCTCCATTGTAAGAAAATTTCTTTCTTTCGTTACCTCCGTAGCAAGTTTCAAAACTTGTGATCTAAAGAAAGAAGTGTGTCTACATGGCGCTCTTTGAACATCTTTCAGATCTGCAGCTTGCCTTTCAATCTTGTAAGCAGAGCAAATCACGCTTCTAATTTGCTTCCCAGCTTGTCTCAATTTTGTCGTTCTCTCTATCAGCTCCTGCTTTGATTGCACTACGTCCCTCTCCAATTTTTCACGCTATCCCTTTAAAGCACCTTCAAAGCATTACTGGATTTCTTCAGCTCCTTGACTTGTACATCAGCACTCGAAAGCATGGCCTCTTTGGTGGATAATAGGTGTCTTAACAAACATGTTTTATAATACACAAAATAAGAAAGAAAATAGTTGCAGTATGCATTAAAATAAAAAAAAATGCCTTTTTCATTCTTTGCAATCTTAGTATTTTGAAGTCATAGTCCAAATAGAATGAATGAAATTGCACGTAATTCACAATGTTCAAAACGTCACATGCATAAATCTAAAACAACATTCTATAAAGGGACGGGGGTCCACTTTTTTAATTAAGCCGAAATACAAAGTAAAGTGTACAGGTGGACATCTTTATTTTCATTCCGTAAACTAAACTTTTTGTTTGCATCCTTTATTATCATTAGAGAATTAATCAGCATGTCTAGGAGCATAAAAAGCTTACAATATGTATTGAAAAGCTGTATCCATTCACTACTTGTAATCTTAGTGTTCTCATATCATGGTCTAAAAAGACAGAAAAATTGCACTTTTTAAGCATCTTGACTAACATACATGAGCATTCTAATTTCTAAATAATCAAAGATTTTCATGTAACTTTCTCATTCATTGTCAGTAAATCATCCCAGGGAGCTTTTCATTGCAGAAATTAGGGGTGGACATAACGGTTTGGTTTAACCGAACCGAACCGTACCAAACCGAACCGAAACCGGACCGTATGCAATTTAGTTTGAGTTTGGTACTATTTCTTCCAAACCGTATTAAACCGAACCGAACCAAACCGAAACCGATAAAAACCGAACAAAATCGAACCGAACTGAAGAAACTCAAAAAAAAAATCATATATTATTAACATTGGTGGTTTGATTTGGTTTGTTAAGGGTTTACTAAAGCAAACCATTTGGTAAACATTTGCTCAAACCGAATGGTTTGGTACTTTGATTTGGTTTGATTTAAAATGGAAAACCGTAAACCGAAACGAACACCAAACAACATATACATACATATATATGTATATACAGTGTATTTATCTTCACTCTTCATTTTTAAGATATAAATAAATAATTTAGACATGAAAATACATATTTAAGCATATACTCGTATCATTTTAACTTTTACACATTTCATGCATTCATTATGACAAAGTTAGCTAATATGACATATTTGTATTTATCATGTTTGGCGATAAAAATAGCAAATTGCATTTATATTTTACATGATTCATTTGTATAAAATTGTGAATATTACAACATTTGTATCATTGACTCTTTTAGGCTTTTTTTTAAATATTATATGTGATATTATAAATGCTAATCAACTATCTTATTTTTTGTAAGAAGTGAATTTTTTGTAGTGATAAAAAGGTGTTAGAAGTTTTAATTCATAATATTTTATTATTTATTTTTCTATCTTTTATTTCATTTTACATTTTATTGAAATAATCAATAAATTTATAAAAGATGAGATGGACTACTACTTTCATTTTCTAATTCTAAAATATAGAACTTGATCAAATAAGATAATAATCATAAGCAAACGAATCAAATTAAACTAAATTAAACATTATATTTTTTACTTTGGTAAACCGAACTTCAAACCGAAACCAAACCGAAAAACAAATGGTTTTAGTTTGGTACAAATTCCCCCAACCCGAATAAACTGAAACCGAACTGAAACCGAAGAAAACCGATCCGTAAACCGAATTGCCCACCCCTAGCAGAAATAGTGCATAGTTTGCAGTATACCAGTGCAACTATCCAATTCCAATTTGTTCAATTTGCATCATCTTCAAAGACGACCTCACACATAACCTATCACCATAGAAACTACTATTCTACATGTGAAGACATACTCCCTCCGTCCCAGGGAGAAGTTCCCACTTTCCTTTTTTGGTAGTCCCAACAAAAAGTTCCCATTTCTCTAAATGGAAAGTTATCCTACATCAAAACAGTGTCAAACAGTGCAAAACAGTGCCAAACAGTGTCGAAACAGTGCCAAACAGTGTCGAAACAGTGGCAAACAGTAAAATTTACCCCTCAGTCACTTTATTTCCTTAATATGTGTGAAAGTCAACTCGGGAACTTCTCCATGGGACGGAGGGAGTAGTAAACACACAAAGAATTTATCCACGTTTACAATCTCTAGAAGCACCTCAACCGTTTCATCCAAAAACTAATTTAGATTGAACTACCGACTACCGATTTCCTAAATGTTTACAAAGTAATCGTTTCAGAATAACTTTATAATTAACTTATTTCGAGCGAAGATTAAAACCATGGTGTGTCTCTAGATTTTCAATTCATTCAAAATACCTGATAATGTGTATTCTATTCTCAATCAACCACAATTTGTGGTATCAAAGATACTAAAAATTAGAAAGCAGACACGATGGTATAACATTTTCAGGTCATAAAGCAAACCTGGATAAGTATAGAAGCTATGGCCAGACATAATTTGAATGAACCGATAATTAAAATATGCTCATTTGGATGAAGCAATAGACGGATGAGATGGAGTTAAATAGATGAAGGGGAATATGTGCAATGTATGGGCATCCTTGGCCATTGCTATGGGGAAGGTTAGAAATTTGATGTGGATGCAGCTGGATACT